TGTACGCACACGCTCGTGTATGTCTTGTACACGTAGGGGCTGGTGGTGTGGCTTACAACGTTACAGGCTGAGTATAAAGGCGTTCCAGCATACCGTGTACAGGTGGTGGATGTAAGGGCTGTAAATTCCGTGCTTACACGAGCCCCGAGCTTTTCAAAGGCTGCACGTGTACTCGTGTATAGGTACAGAGGCTTCGGTGCAGCACCAATAGTCGTTTTTCTTAGTACTTTTTTACACTCGAGGCGTGAAGCTCAGTTACTTGCCCGTTGGGCTTCAACACCTCGAAGTGTGTGTACAAGCGGAGCGTGGAAATTCGAGCGACAAGTGGTATCGTGCGTTCCACGAGGTTGGTGAGATTTTTTACGGGGAATTTTTCGATCTTTCGACTCCTCGAGGGTAATTGACGCGTTTTCTCCCTTAAAGCGTATACATATATATCTGCCGAGTCGTGCTTTGCCAAACAGCACAGAGGCTTCGGTTCCCGCCTCCCTAATGCGATTTCCGTCCAATCTCGATCTCCCTCCTTTCGTTCTCCGACTCACGACCGGCGCCGTTTCTCCCTTTATTTTTTTGCCCCTCTCCGCAGGAGCCCCGTGTGTTTTGCTGTGGTGTATATAGCTACGCCGCGGAGCCCATCGTCGGTTCCATCTTGAGAAAGAGAGAAAAAATGGCGATTCGTGGCCACGGAAGTAGGTACGCGTATGTATATATATTATACACGTAAACGACAGAGTTATGTGTATTTGAGCTCTGGCTGCCCCCTCCTCGCGTGAGGTCATTTTCTCACGACGAGCACCAGCTGTACCATTTCCACGAGTGGAGCTTTAATTTCCTTTCTTTCTTTCTTTTCCTACGAATCGGGAGAGACTTAACGAAGCCACCTCCTCCGAGAGCAAGATCGGGGATCCGAGATTGTGCCTTTAACACATCTACGTGCGATGCGATCTCGGTGAGTCGAGAAAAAATGCGACCGACAGTTCCGAGACCAAAGATATGGCCAAGGGGGCAGATGCAAATGCAGCAGTACGACGAGATACCGATTATTTCAGAAATCGTTTGACGGCGCATTTCGTAAAAACCATTGCGAATGAGATTCAAGTGGTTAATCCACAATCTCGTTCATTCTTGATTGGGTGGTAAAAAAAAAAAAAAAAAAAAAACTCCCTAGTACATCCATCCGAAACTAAGTCTTTCTTTCCAAGAACCGGCGCTCTCTTTCACGGCCGAGTGGCGATAGCAATGGCTCGCTGAAAACAGTGTCGTCAACCCCGCTTAACTCAAAGATAAGCCATAGTGCCTTTGTCCATAAATTACACGTATATGTATGTACTTTTTTTTCTCAATCATTCGAGACACTCCAAACTTTGTCCGCTATTACGTAACCAAAGTAACCGAGAACAGCCGAAGCACTCCTCCTCGTATACGTTCAGATAGCTCGAAAGGGGGAAAAAGAAGAAGAAAAAAAATTAGCTTCGGAAGGATCACGTGGGTATTATTATTTCGCAAGAGTCCTGAAATTCCCTCGGAGTGGCGGGAACTTGAAAATCAACATTCGGCCTGCGGAGGCAAGGAGCCGATTTCCTGCGAATCGGTGTACTTACCCACGATCCAGCGGATGGATACCCGAAGCGAAGAGGACGAGAAGGAGAGGGAAAAACGCGAGGCCGCAGCGGGAGGGAAAGAGAGAGGGCTCGGGCCGGATGTAATGCCTTAATTAAATATTCTCACGCGAAACGTACCGCACACGTGGTGCCTAAGCTATACGTTACTGGTTACCATTGCTATATGCCATGGTGCGCTGGGGATGGGACGAGGAAAAAGTAATATAGAGAACGTTTAGTTTCCTGCTTTTGCGAGTCCGAGTGGGTGAATTCTTTTTTAAGTGCAAATAATATCTGCTTGTGTAACGATTGAAGGTGATCTGTTGCTGTCGCTTGATCGCTTATTACATTAAATTTTTTTTTTTAATTTTAAAAGATTTCTTTCACATCTGATTGATTTAATTGCCCTAAATGTATGTCAGGTGGACTCGGGCAATCTTATAAATTATAGTTGAAAACAGATCGATGAAAGGTAGAAAAATTCAGTGATTGGCTACTATTGATATAAATGAAATTGAAGCTTCGAGTTTTATCATTTTGAAGCCCCAGCTTTCTTTTGCATCCGTTTTTTTTTTTAAGACAATCGGTAAGAACCCCTTTACGGCACTATATTTAATCTAATCTCGAGCAATGAATAAATCGTTGAAAAATCGTTGACCCAATAAATGAAATCCTTACGCTATTTTACAGAGCACCTAAACAACGCACAATGTACTCCGTAATTTTACCGATACCCACACATTCGTAGACATACGACTTACAACCGATCGAGTATTCCTCCGTATCTTTTTTTTTTTTTTTTTGTTTGGCTCCGACGATAAACTCTCGAGGAGAGGAGTCAAGCTACGGAGTTTTTGTTGTGATTCGTCTGCGTCATCGATCAGAATTTTCCATGCAACGGCGTATACGAACTGCCCCGTTCGGTGATGATGAATGAACACGAGTGCACTCCTATACTACTTCATCGCTACAAGTTCGTGCGATCGATGCGTTCATGGTGATCGGTCGAGGATTTTCTTGTCTAGTCTTCAGCAAAAGGTGGGATTTTCAATTGCACTGAAAATCCGATCGGATGTAATTGGTATGGATTTGTTTCACCTCGACCGACAAGCTTTGTTTCATGAAAACGTGCTCAAAAGCTTCGAAATACCAAAAAACTCAACGAAGCAACTCGAAATCCTCGTTGACACATGTACCAAAAGTAGAAAAAAAAAGGAGCTCATCGATCGCTCTACGCGAAGAAAGTGCCCCTCAGCGGGGAACTCACGCACACTCAGCTCTGGGCTATGCCGATCATCAATAGCCGAGATTAATCCGTGGGAAGGGAGGAAAAAGGGGAGGGTGGAGGGACGAAAGGAATCGCTGTATCCTCCGAGGAGCGATATATATATATATATATATATGTATATATATATACAGACGGAGATGAAACGAAGGCGAAAATGTCACGAGTAGGAGAGACGGAGCACCGTTAGGCTGCGGGCAAAACGCCATTTTCCCGTTCGATCGCCGCTGTGGTTGAGCACGCGGATGTTATACATATATATATATATATATATATATATACATCGACGCTCATCAATGAAAATAGACGCCGGCGCCACTATGTGTGTGTGTGTGTATGTACACGCGAAGAGAGAAATATGGGCGAGGGGGTGGCATGCAGCGAGAAACGGGAAACGAAGGAGGAGGAAAAAAAAAAAAAAGTTGCACGCGTTTACCGCTACGGCTAGTAGAGCGAGGGATTACAACGGTGCCCTCCGTGCGCTTTGTTTCACCATCACCGGGGGAATTTCCAACGGCATCCCTCGAGTTTGTTGGAAAAAAAAAAAAAAAAAAAAAAAAAAAACGAGCTCCCAGCCCTTTTTTTGCAATTGGTACGGTCAAAAGGCACTTTTTTTTCCTCCGCGAGGAGGGGTGCTGGCTTCGCTTTGGCGTGGCAACAAGAAGCAGAGCGCTCGGGAGGATTGTTATGCAAATACATGTATACATACCTACAACAACAAGAGAGAGAGAGAGAAATACCACGGCGCCGTTTATCAGTGCCTCTCTTTGGAGCCGGAATGTATATGTATGTACAAATAGTCGCGATCTTGCCTCATCATCGTGGCGAATTGCATGGCATCGAGCGCACAATGAGAAGAGGGATGAGAGCGTACGGAAAAGCGTCGACTTTTCTTTTTTTTTTTATTTCTCCCGCGATATCGATCCCCCCCTCTGCACCGTCCTAGTCTCGCGCCCTTTTCTTCTCTGTGACGGAGCTTGCACAGACTGTCGCGCTAAAATTTTCACGAGGCTTCTCTCGTTCGCTCCAGACGCTGCTACTTTATAGAGATTCGAGTGCATGCTCTAGTCGGACTCGTGTTGGAGACAAGTACCTCATATGTATCTATACGCGGGGCTTGCGAGAGCTTGCGTTCTTTACTCCTGACGTGTGAATGAACGATTTTTTTTTTTTTTTTTTTTACAACACCTCGGGCTCGGCTCGCCTCAAGCTTAACGAGATTGAGTTTCATTGACGAGTGGAGAGGGTCAGTGACTGCGTTTTTCATCGTAGTCGTGTGTATTTATTTTGTATTTTTTTTTTCTTCCTTGTTTTACAGGTGTATAGGTTTTTTTCCAGATAACAGTGAGTTACTGTTTGGCCAATTTTTGGAGTTTAGTAATAAAACTGATACTGAGTCACATATCATTTGGTTCACACGATTTTCGTAACTACATTTTCAATATCCAACTGTGAATAACAGATTATATCCATCCGCGTGAAGAATCGTTGTTTCGGAAGACTCCAAACAAAAAGAAAAGATTATCGATCAAAGTTGCGTTAATTATCCCATAATTGGAAGGAAAAAACGAGTGCACGTATATTTTATAAAAAAACAATCGGTTAGCTACGAAAACGTTACTTCCTCCACACGTTATTCCAAATAGCATCCGGAGGACGTTATCGGCAAGTACAAAAAAAATAGATCACGCTCGTGAGCTCGTTTTGTTCATCTCGTGGCCTGTTTATTTACCGCTTACACAATCGCGTTATTCAACCTCGCTCCAGCTCGATGCTATCAACGGCCATGGGTTACGCGCACCGTATCCATGTACACGTTCAATTTGTAAAATAACCAAGTTTGAAAATAAACAGCGCCGGTACCCGACAAAAGCCTCGACGAGTATACGTAAGGAATTTTCGGAGCATCAGCAGGGAGAGCAACGACGCCCGTGCGCCTATCGATTCGCCGGCACCCCAATCAAAACAAAAGAAGCCCCTCGAGCCTCGGAAATACCGGGCAGCACGACGTATACCCTCGTGCCTTGCAACTGGATTCCTCCCTCAAACTCGTGCATCGCAGCTACTATTTGCAAACTATACTGGCAAAGACAAAATATAACAACTATACTCACCCTGTACGAGCGTCGCCGAGGCAAAGAGTAAACAGAGGAGCGCCAGGCAGCCGTAGCCGCCGAGCATCATCACCCCAAAGCCCTTCCTCATCTTCCTTCCGGCTTTCCTGCCCCACGCAACTTGTTATTCCTTTTTTCCTTCCCCCCCTGTACCCTTCAACACTGACAACAACAATAGCACACTGGCAAAGCCATGCCCGACGACAACGACTTCATAATCGTCGCGACAACCAGGCCCCGCAAAAAAGCTCGGGGCTCGAAAAGTTCAAACCGTACACGCACTCCTCGGCAGGACGAAGAAGCGATGATAGCACGTGTGATGCGGCAGGAGCTCCGAAAACACACCCGAGACTCCCGCACGCCTCCTATATATATATATGTATGTATACGTATGCGCGACACTAACTCGGCCAAAGCCACACACGGTCGAGGGCACAATGGAGTGTGTTACACACACCGCGGAGGTCAGCCGAGGAGCCGAAGGGCCGGGCCAGCTACACCGTGGCCTCGGCTGCGGATCACCGGGAGCACAAGATTACCCGTACTTTGGCAGCGGTGGCGCGCGGCCATTTTTCGAGGCCTCCCCGCGCTCGCCGTTTCTTTCCTCCTTTACTTTTCTACCGTGCCCGCATAGCGCCTCGTTGGTGTATGGGCTCTCCAACACCAAGGCAGCCGCGCTCGCACCTATATACTCGCTCTCTCTTCCTTCCTTCTCTCTTATACTTCTGGGCCTTCAACCATACACGGTCGTATTTCTATGTTGCGCCTCGACAGCTGTACACGACCCATCAGCTCGAAATTATAAGCATTTGGCACCGATGAGCTTTTTTCCCATCGATCGCCGAGCTTTCGCTGTTGTACACCTGTACGCCGGGGGGGGGGGAGCGTTAACAGCAGGAAGTCACTCCTCGCGCACAGTTACACCAGCACTCTTGTATGTAACGACTGGCCACTGCTGTCACTGCTTTGGAACAGTGATATCCGTGCAAGTTCAGCAGGGGGAGCTTTCGCGGGGCAAAGGATCGTCCTTTAATACTTTTGGTCTTGGGAAGGATTTTTTTTTGACTTCCCTCGGGAGAGCTGGTGCGAACCGGTGGTTTAGGTAAGGTATGGATGGGGCTGTGCTCGAGGTGCCGTGGTCCGTACCGATAGACTCGGAACTGGGTACTGAGCCACGACACGCCACACTACACTGTGCTCTCTCTCTCTCTCTCTCTCTGCATCAGCTTTTGCGGTTTCGCGATACTCGACGGGGCGCTGCTGGTTGCACGCGAAAGATCACCGGGGCAGAGAGACCTCGGATAGTATCTATATAGGGCTCGTTTGAATTGTCCGTGCCTCTTTCGCCCGCGCTTGCGTGGCTTTGCGGAGCGCGAAATTCGAGCGGAGGATCAGGTGGTACAAATCTTTACTTTTGGGGATACAAAAAAAGAAAGCTTTTTCAATGTAGTACAGTTATTTTTATGCATAATCGTGATAACAATAATAATAATAATAATAATAATAATAATAACTATTCCTTCTTACAAAAAATACAAATATAGTTTTATTGCTATGTCCTTACATGTATTACGAAATCTATCTGTTTTACAGTAGTACGTTCGCTCGATCCTTTCGTAGACAAAAATTAATTATACGTCATTTTTACTTAAATTTACGTAAATGTATCATAACATGTGTTTATGCTCTATGGATGTAAAAATTACAAAAGAGTTCTTACAATTACGTATGCAATGCTTGTAACGATAAATATAT